GAGGAGCCAGGCGCAGGGACACCTGGGGAAGCAGGGGGTCCCTGCACCTGCCCTTTCCCTTCTTTCCAGGGCTTGGAATCTATGCGCTCCTCAGGGCACAAAACTCATCAGTTCTGCCTTTGTGGGCAGGTCTTAATGATTTTTTTGGAACCTCACCACTTGACGACAGGAAAGAAGTTCAGAAGGTCAGGCTGAGGATTTATATGTCCTGTGGCCTTTGAGGAATGGTAACACTCCCTGGAATAACACATAGAGGAACAAGCTTTAGGACCTGTTTCCGAGTCTCTGCCCTTTTCTCAGTGGTTTTATAATCATCTGCATATTTTACTGCAGATGCTAGAGGAAAGGATAAACTGAGAAATATCCTTAGAGTAAAATGCAACCCTGGGAACAAATTATGCATGAGAGGTCAGATGGCTTGTATTAAATGTGAAATTCTCACCCATGCCAATAGCCAGGCCAAGGCCTAAAAAATACTTGTTTTACTTTGGCAGACAAAACTCTTGGTGCAGAAGTGATATATTTTTTTATTAGATCAACTAAATAGTAGCAAAAAATCCTTTCTTTGCAAGTTTTTGGGCTCAAACTCCAGATTCAACTCCAAAGTGAGTCCCATTTTCCATTTCTGGTTGCCCAATTCCCTCCCTCTCCCCCACAAAAACTGCAAACCAATAGGACTGATGACTAGAATATAGCCTGAAATTTCGGGGTTGATCCCATATAATTTTTTTAAAGTTCTGATTATATCCAAACAAGAAGTATAATGGAGGCATCAGGATGCGCTTTCTAAATCATATAATGAAGGCATCAAGACGCACTTCCTAAATCTCTTTTGCTGTGAGCACTAATTTACCTTACACCTGGCCTTCCTCATTAGCTATCCAAGTCATAATTTTTCATATTACTAGACAACTTTGTCTAGCTTTAGAGATGGATACTTTATGAGACATATTTATTGCCTTTCTATTCATTTCATATTCTGTTGAAAGTTTCTCCATATTAAAGAATTCTGCTAAGACTACGGCACCAGCTATCATGTGGGCTCTATGAAGGCACACACCATATTGTCCTTCCATTCTCCTGCATGGTGAACAGCAATGGACACATCATGTCAGGTACAGCGCAACATACACCCATTCATACAATAAGGTATTTTTTCACATGATTCACAACATTGAATTGAGGCTGATGCAATTTTTTCCCCTCCTGCTGCTATGTCCAGGACTTTTTTTTTTTAAGCTTTCCTCAGGACTGTTGGGTGTTGACTGCAGTCAAAGCTGGGGACTTTGACTGGGGTGTGTCAGGTTCCTATCAGGTCTTGCCCTTCTGTTCAAGGTCAGACCAATCACCATTTTTGGGGTCAGGAATTAATTTAACCCATGGTCAGATTGGTGTGAACTGTGGAGGTTTTTGCCTTTCTCTGTAGTGGTGGGTATGGCTATCTTTCTTGGGTCTCCCAAACTTTGCAGCAGCAGGATGTTGGCCACCATGGTCCTCTTGCTTCATCTGTGGCAGGTTAGGATGTTATGTCTTGTGGTTTTGTCAGGGTTGACAGTGGATTTGTATAGGGCTGATCCTGCCTCAGGCAGGGGGGCAGACTAGATGACCTATGGAGGTCCCTTCCAGCCCTGCTTCTCCATGATTCTATGTACCGTCAGTCTGAGATAAAACAAGAAGGTGCTGGCTACAAATGTCCAATTCAGGATCCTTAAAATTCTGGTTTATTAGGCAGATTGAAGCACTGTAATGAAGTTAAATCATAAACCTTGGGGCTGGTCCCCCCCCACACACACACACGCACACACACAGTAGCAAGCTACAAGAGTCGGGTATACCTATCCTACAAGCGCTGGAGTCTGCTGTCGATGGCCAGTCGAGGCTTTTTTCAGCGTGGTGTTATCCTCCAGAAGGGGGTTGCCGGCTGGTCCTTCTGGCTGGACAGGTCGGGTGCTGGTCGAGTTGGAGTTCAAGAGGGTGCCACTGAGGGTCACTTTTCACTGCTTTTTATCTGTCCTTGGCAGACTTTGGTGACTCCCCAGTTTTCAGGTTTGCCCAATCCAGGGGTCGTTGACCCTCACGGGACTTCCCCCTCGGTGGCTACTGGATGGCATCTG